GGGTTAAAAAGGAGCAAATTAACCTTAGGGGGGTAGCCCAGAGTAAAGATGTGAACATGTACTTTCTGAATCCTGCAGAAGTGTTATAAAGAGTCAGAAGGACCACTGAAACTCCATGTATTAAGTTGAGCTCTAATCATCACTTCCACAGCAGACCTATGGCTTGTGTTCTATTTATATTTCATGTTTTCTAAGCATATTCCATGGAAACAGCCAACCAATCAGCTGCCCAAAATATAGGAAATAAACTGCCAGCTAGAGATACTGCATGAACCTTAAAATAAACAGCTCTGTAGCCAGGATGGCTGTTTCTAAAGCTCTGACGGTTGTGTAGGATACAGCCTACCCACTGAGAGGAAAAAGCCCTGGCTAAGCTAGTCCACAGAATGAAGAGCGAGGCACAGGCTATTGTGCTGTGTTGCTGCTTCTCTGGCTTATTGAGCAGAACGTTCTAAGGCTGTCTTAATAAACATACAATAAAAGGGCAGCACAACCCTACCAGCTTTTCCTGGTGATCTAGGGAAAAATATCCTTGACCTATAAATCCATGCCAGTATATTCTCTCTTGCAAATATGACATCAACCAGAAGAGGGTAGTATAAACCAGCCTATGTTACAATATCGGAGCTAGGATTTTTTCCAAAGCAGCTATGAAATCTATTTGACAAAATAAGATCAATCTCTCCCCTCTGACACAGTAATTTTGAAACTGGCATTCTCATTATCTTATTTCTGAGCAATGATATTGAGGTGAAAAAAACCCCACGTCTACCAGAATGTGGGTAACTACCTGGGTATTGACCACAACTGGTTGTTCTAACCCAAATACTGCATACAATGGATGCCAAGGTGACCTTGTGAAGATGCAATGAATTAACAATGAACTTATTTAACAACAACAGCAAACCCCCCCTCAATCAAATGGTGTAGCTGAATATGCCTGTTTCTTTGTGGATCATTCTTACTAATAATTTGAGATAATGAAATATATATGAATATATGTTTCATTATATATATTTATATACAGACATAAAATCGTCTTCTTCCACTAATTTAAGATGATTATTCAATCGTGAAAATGAAATAAGGTGACTAATTAGGTTATCTATAATCAACCTAGTTCCTATGCAAAATAATAACTAGTAAGTAATGTCCCATCAAAGTAATGACAATCAAGAGTCACTCAAAATAGTCAGCTAATACTTTATAATTGCTTGAAGTGTTTAATTCTTTACAGATAAGGGAAGTGGAAAATATTCAGTCACTTCAATTATAATAGTTCCTCAATCTAAAGCATGATCTAATGTTTCTCTTTTCTTGTAATGGAACATCACTGAACTGGGCTTTACAAAACCAGCCAACTCCTGAAGTAAAAAAACATTCCGTCTTCCTAATTTAAGGTTTTTCCAAAGCATTTGAACCACCACAATCCCACAAATACCTCAATACCTCCATTCACCTGTTGGTTTGGTTTTTGTTCATCCACAAATGCAGACTCGGATGCTTCTTCAGTGGCTGTTCTTGGACAAGTCACAGGGTGTCTTGAGTCATTCTGAACAGCAGCAGGTTCTTTCACCTGCTTGTGTTCTGTCTGGCTGAATACAGTTGCAGTTGTCAGACACCTTCAAGTTTAGGAGTGATATGGATGCTTCTCAAGGTGCCACCTACCCTACAGACTCTTCCACACTGTGGTTTATCAGCCTGACCTTCATGCAGTCAAGATTTCTCCTTTCCAACATTCTAAGTAGCCTCTGGAGTGCCTTAAGGAATATTACAGTGGATCACTGGTGCTTTGTTTTCTTCTTCCTGTGATTTTTATTCTGTTCTCTCAAGTTGAACTTATTTTCTGTTCTTTGTACAGCATTTACCTCATTGCACTTTGGTTTATTTTTCAGGCTAGATAGTAAACGATATTGTATGTAACATGTTTAAGCAGTTACCAACAACTAAACAACATGTGAGTTAAGGAGAACAATCCAAAGGATGGGAAAAAGGAAGGTGCTATGTAACTCCACAGCTAGCCAGTACAATAATTAGAAATGGAGCAGCCCGATTCCCTACAATTCTGCTCTCATCACATTATGCTTACAATAAACACATCATTATTTGTCTATCTGAATGGAAGTATTAAATGACCATCAGACATCACAGGATACTAAACAGGGTTCAGACAACATTATCAAGTTATACAGGTAAAAATAAAGGGTAAACAGTTAGAGACTACAATTGGCTTTGGCCAACACAAAACATAAATTCAGTGTATTTCATCGCCTCTCTTGTTTAGATAAAAATGTGCCTTTTGGTCCATAGAAAGCAAGCAAAACAAAACAAAGTAGTTCTGCTGCAACACAGGATTTTTATATCTGCTTTACAATTCAAGTGAAATTGTTTCTCAATCCATTTTGTTCATTCTTGACTTCCTGTTCCTATAAAAAATGACAAGATTTGAAAGACTTCCACTGTGAAATATTACTTCATACCTAAAAATACAAATGACAGGAACAACTCTAGAAGTCTTTAAGTGCAGAAATGATGTTAGGCTGCCCTCTAAGAGTATTAACTGGCCAAAAGGAAATGATGACATAAAAGCAAAGGTTTCATTTACATGTGCACCTTTGGGCTTGTTTTCAATAACAGAACTCAAGACTACAAGATAACACCAATAATAAAAAGTTCTGTGGGACTGAATGATGGCAAAAAATAACCCTACACAATTAGATATATGTATATATTTGAAGCCTGTGCCTAGATCTGTGCTTTTAGACACAGGCAACCGCAATAGGCTTCAGCAAAAAGTATTACTCACAGACAAAGCACTGGTGTTGTTGCTGTTGGCAGTTTTCCTTGCACAGTTCCAGAACCACTGTGTTTAAACCCAAAATTATATTCTATGCCCTTATTCTAGTGTTCATGGATAAAAACAAAGCCGAGTTGTCCTTAATTTTTGACTAACAGCTACAATGTCTTAAGGATAAAGGATACTTCAGATTGTGCCCCTGAACATCAATAAATGCCAGTTGTATCTCAGTAATGCTTTTAATTATTGATTTTAGAGAGAAATTTTGCTCCAAGGACATCTCAATGGAAAAAATCAGCTATTCAGCAGTGAACAAAAACCAAATAACCATGTCTGCACTAATTATTACAAACACAAAGTTATCTAAATAGAGTGGACTGAAACACATTTTCTGTGCCATAAATCACAAAAAAAGCAAGCCATAAAGAAAAGATTTTTTTTCTTTTTTTGTTTATTCACCAAATATTAGTAAATGGTAATGTACAAATTTGCTGAGTTGAGATTAAAACATACATTATACTGAATAGCCAAGATATGCAGCAGAGTACCATCATTCTAAGACTTAAGACAGTGTCTTATAGATGTTCCCTTATGTACCCATGTGACTCCACCAGACCATGTATATTAGGTCAGAATACTTTAAAACTAACATGGAACAAGGCAAAAAAATAACAGCTTCATTTTGTGACTGCAAGAGAACAAAACCATTAAAGCATTTTCGTGAAACAGAACTGTATAAACTATGTTTCTCAATTTAAAAATCTTAGGTTTTTCCATTCAGCCCTGGGGTGTGGCTGTGAGCATTTCCTCCTGGAGGACACCCGAGGTATTTAACATGGATCTCACGAAATACACCCATGAAAACCAACAAATATTACAGTTTCAGCACCACAAAATATCTCCGTCAAATCTCATGTAGAATTAAGCAGTTATTGACTAATCTGAATATATTCAATGCTTCTTACGTCAGTACCAATGTTGTCTTGGTTTGATTCTGGTAAAATAAAGAATCTGACACTGGCAAATATACAGACAGTATCCAAGGCACTTCTAAATACAGCATTTTACCAGTTTCTAGTGTAGAAATCAACATGCTAAATGTGTAGGATGATTCTAATACTCAGGTCTCTAGCTAACATACTTTTACTTGCTCCTAATAATACCTACAATGAAGTAGGTACTGTACAAATATAGAAGATATGAGGTATTACTCAGCGACCTTCGTCTAAAATCAGGAAAACCACACCATTACAATTCCAGTGAAAAGAATTACACTAAAATTCATGGGGTTTAGAAAATATTCTCTCAACTCCATTCTGAATTCTAACCATCTCTGTACATCAGGCCCTATCAGCTAAGCTAAAGAGGCAGCAGTGACCTGTCTGTAAGCTGAGTGGCATGTTCCAACAGCTTTGTTTATAATAAGACTGCATTCCCTTAGACTGCACAAGAGTGGAATATGCTAACAATACCACATGTAATAAATAGTTGTAGCAATGAAAGTGACACTTTTTTATGGGGCTTTCACTAATAAATATGACAGAATACAAGGCTGTTGCTTTTTTTCTTCTTCTAAGCATGATCACCAAGCCTGACCCCAAGGCTGCTAATGCTGGGTAAGCCAAGAGACACACAGAACTATTCCTCTCTCAGAATATATGGTGAGCGTGGCACCATGAACAGATCCACTCACTAGCTCTTCTTTCACTGATAGCCAAAATAAATATAACAAACCAAATCTCAAGCAACCTATAACAAAATTAAAGACATTTTAAATAAAAATCTTGTCCCTAATCCAAAATATACAACAGTTACCATGTGAAGCACAATGAGAAACCTTAACAACACATAAAGGACACTTAGAAAAAATTAACCTCCAAGAATCAATTGTGAGGCATTAAACACCACCCTAGAGCTCCTAACACTGAAGCTGAAAGGGTAAAACTTCCAAAGATGTTATATGTATGTAGTAGAGAAGCTCATAGACTAACATGGCTTAAATTATTTACTTACGACTATGTTCAGTGCAATTCAAATTGCGATTGAGTCATGTAGAATACATCTGAGAACTTGCACAACAAAATCCCCTCCCTGGTAATGTAGTAGTTTTGAGTATGTGGGCTAAGATTACATGGAATAGGATAGATTCTTTGGAAAACTGAAACCTGCAGTCTCTGGAGATTTCTGTCTACAGAAATACAAGTACAATAACTGTCAAGAGCATTGCCACCTGGTTACTGATCAGTGCTTGCCCTATAACTCCTAGGACTGTGTTTTTTAACAAGACATACATTTTATGTAGATGCTTTCTGAAATACACTGCAAAAGGATGGTAAATTATTTTGGCAGCTTGTGTTTGCCATATCTCTACATTACACATGAGAAGGAAGAAGGCATTTCTGTTTACAGAGTGGCATTGTGCTTTTATCTGCTTTAGAACAGATGTTTCCTGTTTCTTCTCAGTGTGATCACTTTTGTTGTCTTTAGTCAGGGTTACTGATTCTGATCCAAATCTGCTACTTAGCCTTACAAGAAAGGTAGAATTTTACCATTGTTCTAAAGAGGCGACAGTCTTTGTTTCTTCTTCAGAGCTGGCCACTGTTTGTGAATCCACCCGATTTATGATTCAAAAAGTTCAGAACTGGTTAATTTGTCTTCTTCATACAGCAAAATATTTTCCATGAGCTTCTTTTTTTTATCATTTATCTCTATTTTCCAAGATGTCTCTCTGGCTAATGCTGAAAAACAAAAAAAAAAAAAAAAAGCCCAAATATTAAGAAAAAAATCCACTTGTCCAAGGTGTAGATAATAAAATAAAACAAACACAAACCCAAAACTGGCTTAGGAAAAAAAAAAACAACTGATAGAAAAACAGAAAATGTTTGTAGATTTATTGGTAAAATCATAACTAAGTTAAAAAGATTTACTGAAATGTGTTTAGAAGTAGGAAGAACCTAAGCAATCCTGGAGAAGAGAGTAATTTGTCCCCACTATTGTGGTACTAGAGTACTTTTATAAAGGCTTCAGTTATCCCACAGAAACATGGGAAGTTCTGCACAAACAGCTTGAAGATGACGCATTGAATGTCCCGCATACACACTTCAGACTGATTTAGATTTACCTTGTGAAGAACATGGAGAGTCACCGGCTGTGTGTTTTTGTTGAGCGGTGCTCTGTGCTGTAGACGCTGCTTCCAAGATGTCCTCACTTTTGGCACACGCCGCATTTCTTTCCTGGAGTCCATGTGCAGGCTTTTCCTGCTTGATCCTGTAATCAGAGGCTGCCACGTTTTCAGCACTGGTACAGCTAGATAGCTCATCTGTAGATTTTTCCGAAGGGTTCCATATAAAACTACTTAATTCATCTGATTCACAAGGAACCCTTGACATCTGTTCACAGTAAACATCAGGCAACACAACACCTATTGAAGGTGGGCATGGATTGGCACTGGTCAGGATGGCAGGCTCTGTGCTGTCCTCTTTATTCTTCCCTGCAGAAGGCACGTCCACGCTGAGACTCGCTGTCTCATCATCAGTTTCTTCGGGAGTGTTCATGGAGAATCCAGAAGTGCTGCCTCCACAGAGGTAATGCTCTCTTAATTTATTTTCAGCCATTTCCATCACTTCAAGCACCTGTTTGTAAGAACAAAACCTGTGAATGCAGAGTAATTCCTGTACCCCTCCTCACACATGTTCTCATATGTCAATACTCCCACAAATAAGCAAGGCATGAATGTGTAGCTTTAGACCTTGCTGTCAAGAAGACTAAAATCTTGGTCAATGTATTTTAAATATTACCTCTGCTGTGTTAGAATTCTTCTTTTTCAGACAAAAGCAGATGGCTGAGGCAAAATCAATAGCAACCTCTTCCAGCAAGTGTCCTGCTTTCTTGTCTAGATATTTACAGCATATTTCCTTGGCAGCTAGCTTTTCTGATTTCTTTCCTTTGGAATATGAGCTTTCTTTTGCTATCTGGATTTCATCAGCAATCATATCTTTCTGTTCAAAGGAAAGAGATACATTAGTGAAGGCAAAATGAACATAAACACTCATTTCTGCTTGAATCACTGAGAATATGAATCTTGCCATATATTTGTTATTATTGCTCCTTAATGGTGAGTTTACAGACCTAAAAGCTTTAAGAATCTCCATTCATGCAGCTGACAGAAATGTTTTCACTAAAAGGTCAAAGGTTTTCTCTGCATGTGTCTAATGTCAAGTTCACTAAAACAGACCCACCTCTTCTAGGCCTATGCCTGTTTATAGGAATGGAAAAGATACGTATAGAGAGGCATTCTTGCTCAGGACTTTTCAAATGTGTTAAAGAAATCATAAAACTGGGATCCTTTCTTTTCTGAACCTATTTGAACATTGATGAATTGCTTAGAAATAGTAAATAAGAATACTACAGTTTTCCCTTCAAAGTCTTCAATGAGATGGGGAATCAGAAGGAGTGCATCCCACAAGGAATATAGGTGGAGTCTGTTCTCATGAGGATGGTGTTAATGGCATTCAGTGAGCCTGGCCAACTCTGATTGCTTGTGTAGTTCTAATCACAGGTTGGGCAAATTGGCCAAGACAGAAATTCCAGACAGTAGTGCAACACATAAGCACCTGATAAACACGATGCTGAGCAACTGTGGTTACCGCCTGCCCACGTTTCCCCATTCAGTTTGGCTCATAGCATGTCTTTCTGGCACACAAAAAGCCCCATGCAGCAGCATTTCAGCACAAAGTCTTCTCTCTTAAATAAATACACATGTATTTAAACACCACTATTCTGGATTATCCCCTACTACGATGATCAGGCCAGTACTCATGAGTGTGGTGTGTGAAATGAGAATAAGTATCCAGCCTCTGTCGAAAGGCAGGTAGGCTACTGATGTTAATGGAACTGGAATATGGCTTCCAAATATCCCTTCTTCAGGATGTGTACAGCAGACTCCAAACAACGAACTATTTATATAAAATGAAAATCCATTCTATGACAGTAACCCCATTCACTTGTGTTGGTATTAGTTATTCCTGCTTCTTCTTACCAGATAAATAGGGTCTCTCCCTTCATCCAGGGCCTTAATCCCTGTCAGTATCTCTGCTAAAACCTAGAAGGAATATACGGAAGATAAAACAATCTGTTCAGAATTAATTCTGTTTTTTAAAGTGTGTTTTGTAACTAAAGAAATATTGAACTGCCAGGGCATTTAAATCAGTATTTTTACTTCAGATGCTTTAACAATGCCAGATCTGGGCAATAGTCACGACTTTGATCTTCATGATTTGTGATCTTTATGGCCTATCTCCAAAGCTAAGTCTATTTTATAGTTAGGTACAAAAGACATTGTTGAAACTAAGGATGATAAGGAAGTCATTCTACATCTAGATAAGAAATCACACTGGACTATTTAAATGGAAATACCTGGATACAGGCAACAAGGCTATCAATTGTTTTACTTGAAATTCCAAATTAACAGGTGATGTCTATAGCAGTTCCTGAGGCAAATCTGCAAGAATTCCAAGAACCCAACTGCAGGCATCCTGCTTCTCTTTGTGTTTGGGTTTTTAAATGATCAGCAAGAACTTTTTCCAGCAAGAAACAATTTTGTTTGTGTTGTTCAAAAGATTCACCTCACTTTGCCAAAACTCAATATATTTGGAGTGTGGACATAATTAGAACCAGTATTTCAACACATTATATAGTCAGCAATATGAAATTGTTAGCAAATCCAATCTTATATCCAATTTCCTGTCTAGAAGCACCAAAGAATGCAATGGAACGTGTTAAAAAGGCCACATACCACACCACAGCTGAATGTATCAACTTTCTCTGTTAACTTCCCATGCCTGATAAAATCTTCTGGCAGGTAAGTAAGAGAAGCCTGTAGGACTTTGGTTTTCATCGTAGCATATTCTGATTTTTTATCAACAGAATACAGCCGCAGACCTGAATGTCCAAGCTTTGGTGTAAAGTTTTCATCCAACAAGACATTTGAGCTGTGATAAAGACAAATAACAATACTGGTCAAGTAATCACTTTAACTTGAGGTCAAAAATTACAGTTCTACACTTTAAAAGAAAAGCACTGAAAGTTCCCAGCATTTGGCCTGCTGTGTATGAGTGGAAGGATAAAGAATGGCAGAAAGGGAGAGGGGGAAGAACAAGCAGTCCAGAAATAACCTCAAAAGAATATACTTCCATCACTCAGAAAAGAGATGGCTTAAACATAAAAAGGTGAAGACCCCACAGAACAAGAGACAGCAGAAAGACCCTGCAAATGGATTTCACAATTGTGCATGCTTTCAGCCATTAGTGTTAAAGAAATTCTGGAAATAAGAGGTGACGATGGAAGTGCTGAGTTGCCAAATCCCTCACCTTTTGATATTCCCATGAAGAATTCCGGAATTATGTAAATACTCTGTAGCTCGGAGGAGCCCTACAGCAATGCTAATTCGCATCTCCCAGGTCAGTGGAGCAGAATCATCCTGCAAGGAAACGAAGAAAATGGTATTTCATAGAATAAAAGACTCTAAGACATCAGTAGTTTTGAAAACTAAAGGCTTAGCTTTAGTCTCAGTCAAAACTCCTGCTAACCTAAATCAAAAGTTTGGTCCAAGGCAGAATGTGACAATTTCTAGGCCAAGGAAAGAACCTATCCTTGCATATTGTGCTACAATATGTTTTGATGCTATGGGACACAGTGAGATAAGGATACAGCAAAGATCACACTTGCCCAAAGAGTCAGGTACTGCCCATTACTGAGGCACATCACTGGCTTTGATGGACCGCTGCTCTAAGGTTCCTCTGCCTTACCATCTCCTCTGCAGATGCTCTTTGAATAGGTGTAAATATCTCAACCCGTTCCCTCCTAGCCCTTGTGAAACTTCCTAGCACATTATGCCAGTGAATATGATGGTAGAGTCTACAGAAACAAACCCAAATCCAATGAAACTGTATATGAATAGACACAGTTTCCAGATTCCTTATTACTTGAAAAGGCTCAAGGCTGCACAGCAGAAACTTCCTTTTCACCCGATTTGCTTTGCAGTCGGAAACTGGAAACGAGCTGCAGCCTTTCTAGAACTTGTAGTCAAGATATCTGGGCAATTTCTGTCTGTTTCTCAGTATTCCAAAAGATATATTTGCTTTTCATGCAGTAACAGGCCAGGATCTGTAATCACAAGTAGATTAACAGACCCAGATTATTTGCTTACTTGACACTGCAGTCTGTTTTGTAGTGATCCATTGGGCAGGTATGGATATACCAGACAGTGCAATCCAGTTTCTACTGAAAAACCCAGCAGCTGCAAGATGTTGACATGACAGCACCTGCAGGCACAGATCAGCAGTGGTTTGCAAATGAAATATGAGCAACACAGAAAATATTCCTGAGCTGGAATAAATGCCTAAATTCAAGGCAATTGGAAATTTTCCTGCAGCTGGAAGCAGCGAATGTCCCTGAGCAGAACAGCAGAGGGCTGACTAATCTATTAGAGTGCAGGTAGGAGGGACGCAAGCTGAAGAAGACACTGCTTCTTCACCACCTCAAGGGCTGGCAGAGCATGGTGTCTGCTCAGCATTGCCCTGCAGCATCAACAGGAGGCATGCTATTTACCATGGCTCCAGTAAAGGGTGTGCATAGCCCTCTTCTTGAGAGCAGCACAGCACCCAAGAGAGAGGCTCATCAGTCTTAAACTAAACATATGGGCACAGGCCACAAGCAGGTAATGCACTGATTGCACCTGAAAGCCAACACTTACCGAAAGCAAATCTGTACCTCTGTATGGAAGAACCTTTGGGTGGAATCTGGGCTTGCACATTCCGTCTGAAAAATGAAAACGTGTGCTAGAATGTCAATAGTCATTATTAAAAGGTTGCACTTGTAGAGATCTTTCAGTCTACCTTAGAAAACTGTCAAGTATCATTGATGGCAACTTTGGGTCAAATGCAACAATTCATTGACAATTAGAACAAGAACCAGTGTAAGGACACATCTGATTCAGTCATCAATGCAAGCAGCTATATTGCAGGCTACCCCCATGGCTAGAGTTAATAACACTAGTCACTTAAGTATCTCTCATATGTGTTTGCTGAATCTAGGTTTACTTACTTTACATCCTTTCCTTTTTACCTCTCCTCTCATGTAGCCCTTCTGGTTCCTTGCCCATACAATAGTAAACAACAACTGCTAATGTTTCAGAGATAATAATGACATACCCCTTCAAAGAAAAAGAAAAGGTGGAGTACTTGCCTCTTTCAGTCTTTTGATGATATACTCTATGTTGTTCCTCTGACCTTTGTAGACATCCGCAAAAGTACCTTCACAGATTCTGCTCTTGTCACTGAAACCACTTGTGGCATTAGTAACTTCCCTCTGGGTCCACAAAAGACTTCCACTGGGGAGATCCGTCCTTGTCTCCTGCTGAGGAGCAGGAGAGCTGCAGGGCTACACATGTGCAGAAGAAACGAGTTTCTCTCATGAAAATTCATATGCTTTTTCCTCCTTTCAGTTGTTGTATTTGCTTTTCCACAATCTAAGCAATCACTGTGATTGTTGAAAGAAACTGTGAAAAGTACTGTACATGTGATGTTTTCCCTTTGTTATAACTGTCTTGATGTGTTTTGCTCATATAAAAGTTTTGCCTAGTAGAAGAATCAGTTACCAATTTGCATTTCCACCTTTCCCAGAAAATAGACTTAATTTTGTTTAAAAGTCGATATATTTTTTTGAAGTGATGTTAATTTTAATATTCTTAACAAAGAATATTAATCTTTATGGCTGGGGCATACACCAAGAAACAATTGGATCAGAAAGTAGGTTCCCTCATAATGTATTTATGTTCTGGTAGGAACTTCACATCTACTTCTGAAGCATCTGTCATCAGTTGCACAATAATTCGTTGCTTCCAGTGTGGCAAGTCCTAATGCCAATTGTTATTACAGTTCCACTGTAATAACACACAGCTTTCACAACCTTAATGTGCTCCAGACTTGAGAAAACAAAACATTAACTCCCTCTCAAAAGCTCTGAGACTACTACATTCTTTGTCACAGTCTTCTCTTCTGGCTGGTACCCTTGAACCAGGTTATTCTGGAAGAGCTTAAACCACAGTCTTCTTCAAAACAAAACAAAGCAAAGGAACCAGGCCAAGACAGAGCCATGATGGGATCAGAGCATGCACATGGATCTGTGAAACACTCTGAAAACCCACAGGACAGATCTAGCTAGACTATCTTATAGACAAGAGAGCTGTAGGGAGGCAGGAACAGAGACTGTGATGAAATCATTAGAAACGTGGGAAAAGCTTGCCACAGTGAGATGGTTAGGCACTAGAATGGCCCAACCTTGGAGATTTTCGATTGTCAGCTACACCAGGCCCAGGGAACCTGACTTAAACTTGATACTAGCCCAGGTTTCAGGAAAACTCCCCACATTTTAAGTATATAATCAAACTAATAGTCTGCTGTTCTACCTAGTCAGTGGTATATGTGGTACCATCCTGTGCTCACACCAGGAATGTTAAGTCCTCTGCAAAATCCATACTAGAAATTCCTCCAAAATTATTTGCTATTTGTGGGCATGTTATCCATGCAATATGGTTCATTTTTAGCGTCACCGGTCCATCACTGGCAAAAAGAATTATGCACACTACAAGTAATCTAACTGAAGCAGGACTAATGGTCCGTTAGTCCATTAGTATTCAGTCCATTAGTATTCAGTCCAAACAAACTGTAATCAACCCCTACTTTTTCACTCTATTTTATACAAATAGAGGGACAAACTTTAACTGAGAAAACATGGAATGTTACGAAGACAATTTTCATTGTTATAATCAATGAGGCCTAAACAGATTTACCTTCACACTTGATGAGACAGGAGGATTTGACTGTAAGGATTTCAAAAGGTCTCTTGGGGGAGGTGGTGGCAAAGGGAGTGAGTACAAGGCTCCTTCAGAAACAGCACCTGAAACTGAAATAACAGCATTGAAAGTACAGGTTCTTTTTACAGTGCCACAGCCTGTGACTAATTATGGAGGTCTGGGATATTTTGTTGAATTTCCTAACCAGGGATAATCTGTCAAAATGAGCAATACTGTGTGAAGACAGGCAGCTGTTTTCCTGGTTTCTCTTTGCAAGATGACTGTGCATGTCCCTCTAATCCTGGCTTGAGAACATAGAGCTCCCTCATCTATACTATTGTTCTTTTCAGTATGTCCTGTGGTTCTGCTGCCTCCAGTTGCCAAGCAAAGGGGCCTGCTGACCTGTGCATAGCTCCCTTCTGGCCTAAATTTATTCTGCATGGCAACAGGGATATGGGGCAGGAAATGTATGCACTCATCTAGTTGTAGTATGGAGCCAGGATGGGACCCATGTGTTCACAGAGACCTGGAAAATGCCTTCAGATCCCACAGGATAGATATAGCCAGCATCTTTCTAAGTCAAGAGAGGTGTAGAAAAGATAAACAGGAGGCAATGTGATAAAGCTACAAAGAAATAAAAATAAAGTTAAAAGGCAAATATTCAAATGCAACCCTTTTGAAGAGAAATATTATACTATTCTGAAAGCAAATGGGAAGCAGTCTTATCTACATGGTCATTTCAATGTTAGCGCAAATACAGAATCTGTTTAGTTACTACCTGCTGGTGGTACTCCTGGATGTGGAGAGTCTGTTGATGGCAACAGACTTATCTCGTTTTCTCTGTCTATCTTCTTGTTTTCTGTGGGAATTAAAGATCTGTTCTCTGATTTAGGCAGCTCTACCAGCTCTTCTTTTCCAGAGTCGGCAATATTAGAGGCTGATGTCCCTTCAAAAAACAATAAAGGAAAGATGAAGATTACCAGGGAAAACACAGCCTGACTCTAATCAACTATCAGGAAACAATCCTAGTCAGGAAAACAGACTGTACATTAACATGAATATTAAAATGAACATTCAAGCAATTCACTGAGAAATTGCTGGAATAGTGTTGGTATTTAAGTTCAGACCATATTTATGACATTAACTACTACTGAAAATCAGTAAGAAGTCAGAGTTTCAAACAAATACCAGTGATGACTATGCAAAATATACAGAGTCCCTTACAAAAAGATATTAACAATATAATATACTTATTGTGTCATTTTCTATATAGCATCCTTCAGCCAATGATCTCAAATCACAAATACCTCCCAGCCTAAAGAAGGCATCTAGTTCTTTGTTAATTGTTGTGGGACTGGGAGGAAGTTTGACAGAATTGTGTTTAGTTTAGCCAGCTAAATGTTTTAGGACTGTTTTCAAGTGTGTGGTTTTAGTGTCATGACCCTGCTCATTCCCAGAAAACACTTTCCTGTATAGAACTATTTACAATAACGAATCATCCTGTTATTTATGAACAGAAAGAAACAAGCTGGAGACAATCTAGGGAAAACATAAGAATCAAAGTTCAAGACTTACTAATATATAAGGGAAAAATAAAGGCTGAATTATTGATTCACTGCAGCTCTAAAAGATACTGTGCTGTATACAGCTTGGTAAAATCTCAGAACAGGCCTGACAAAACAATTGAAATCTGGTTAAAAGATGCACAAAGATGCTTTCAGTGTACAGGAACACAAAACATATGTACATCTTAGACGGAATTATTAAAACTAGATTAGGTTAAAGTCAGGATGGTAAAAAATGAAGTAAAAAAAATTCAAGATACTATGATACCTTGAATCTGCCAAAATCTTCTGAAGGAGCAGATAAATTCTTATCTGTGAATACATTCAAAACTGAGGTTGAAAAGGAGCTTGGGAATACCCAGTGTGCACTGGGGATGATAGAAAGACTTCCTATATGCTAACAACTTTTCCTGGTTGTAGTTGTAAACTTTTGTTTCCACCTGCCACCTTTTATCAGCAACACATTGTGCGTTTTCCTAAAAATAAAAATTAAAGTTTTATTTTGCTATAAAGGAAAATAAGCACAGGTATTAATACAAGGATTTTTTGTCATGCTGTTTTATCAGTCTTCTATCTTAAGCATGGTGGTGATCTTGGAATCAAAAGCCATAGGCCTCTATTTGAATGTGAAATTAGACAACAGCTTCGTGTCCCTTTTTCTGTACAAAGCATTGGAATATCTGAAACAAGCAGGAAGCAGTATGCTTCATTTTAATCAGTGCTGCTCACAAGAAGCCAGCACTCAGTAGAACTGTTTAAGAGAAGACAAGCTATGCACATTGCAGTGCACTAAAGATTGAAGAGTAGATGAAAAGCAGTACTGGTAGAAGTGGCCACGGTCATGACAGGCAAGTTTTGTCCTCTGATCTCTGTTTGGGGTTTGCATCCACTTTCTTCAGTCATGTATGAATGCAGGTTTGAATAAAGCCAGCCTTTAGAATTAAGACACAAAAAAAACCTGGTATGTTTCTTTATTCCTTATTGGAATCCTACGAAATCCCAAATTTCATGAGGGTTCAGAATCAGCCACTGAACAAGTCTGCAGGCCTTTAGCTAAAACTGACAGTCCCTGCATTCTGCAGATGGTAGCTTTTCCCTCCTGTATTTCAACCTAGAAGTCTCTAAAATTAGAATCACTTCCCTCTTTCAACCTACTTTTCAGGGTTTGTCATCAATTTAGCAACTTCCTGCACATCAGACAAACAGGTCATCATTGCAGCTAAAGAACTGACAGGAGAAAAAAGACACAATTATTATGGATGTTCAGAAGCTGGCCTAGAGTAGTGCAAGAAGTTGTTGATGAGAGGTACAGCTCTCCTGGAATTAACCTGCCAGGAAAACCAACCTGCGTGTTGTGTCTGGTTCCTTAAGGTCACAATGAATAGAATTACAGTGATGAAGGACCACCTGGTTTTCAAAAGTGCCCAATAGAACAAGCAATGTACTCTTCATATTTGCCCCAAAGGGATCACCTGAGGGAGCATTTTCAGATATAAATAAAAAGGCAGAAATAGAGGGTAAAGGCTTCAAAGATTTGCCTAAATCTAAGAGGATCCTGCTAGAAATCACTGCAGCTTGTGACTGAGCCCACTGTGGAATGTCCGCATTGGGTTCATTCCAAAAAAACCCTAACTACTTCCACATGCTAGAAAAACAAAATAATCCAGACTCTGCCACTCCAATTAATATGAAGCTTTGCTATGGACTTCAATATAAAAGACAACTATAAGAAGCTTTTTTAAAAGATCATTTCATTGTGGTTTTGCAACTTACTGCATTTGAGTTGATCCGAGACTAACATTAATATCCATCATCCAGAAACGTAAGTAAAAATTGATCACTCCACAGGATTTGTCTCTTCCCATCCTCTTTTAAGCCCTCTTTATTTAGCTTTCATACTGCTTTACAGAGTCAACCCCCAAATCACATAACTCCTTATGCAGCCGTTTGTGGAACAGTCCAAGATTGTAGTTCACCCATTGTCACAAAGGAAATCAGAGAAACAAATGTATCTTAGATTTATTACACCAGTTCAATTTCTTAATGAGCTAAATTGAGCATGTCCATTTCTTTCTAAGATCTATTAATATTTACTTTCCCTATTTATTATCTAGCCTGCAGATACCATTATAAAGACCCCTGTTTACTTGCATCAGCCAGCTACAATCTTTACAAACCAAGTTTTTCCTTGGCGATTGCAAAACATACTCTTCCAGCCTGCAGGAACTAGATTGGGGTTTATTTTTAACAGGGGAAACCCTCAGGGTTTTCAGCTTGTGGCAAGTGAAGTCCAAAAAGTCTCAGGAATGTTTTTGAGAAAGCCAAAACAAACCCCAAAACTTTAAGGTAAATCACAGAGGCAGAGAAAAAACAGGTTATAGCTCTTGTACCAGAGGCTGACCTCAGCTACATCTTGTGCAAGCTACAGCAATACAGTGATACTGACACATCATACAGTGATAGGGACAGTCAGACAAGCAGAAGGGTAATGACTTTCTGTGCTGGGATGATTATTTTTGTTTGTGTTCTATCTTTAAGGTTCTATCTTTAAGTTACTGGAAGCTGCTCTGGGATTGGAAGCCTGATTCTTTGCATTTTATACAAGCACCGAGACAAATCTTACTTGGTTCTTGTGTAAGTGACCTTGTCAGAGCTTTACAATGCCGCCTCTCAGGGCTTGATCCAGTGCCACATTCTGGCCTTTGCAGACAGGACCAGACTTAACAATCAGAGACCCTCTGCACAGCCTCTGGGCTTTGGGGGGTCATTTCACTAAATGTGCTATACATCAGTTCAAATCCAACAATGTTGTGGTTTGCAAGCAGTAGCTCTCTGAAATTAAATACATGGAGCTTCTGTTGAAGTGGTTCACCCCTGCAATGTGCTGAACTAACCTACAGTTTGAAATCTGTTCAGGGGCTTGTTTTAAAGACCTGTAAGAGAAGAGAAAACCCTCTACCTGGGGGTAAAAGCAGCAGCATCTCAGTTGTTACAAGAAGTATAAACAAAGGTGGGCCCCAGAATGTGCTCTGACAGGGAAAGCATGCAAGGCCTGTAACTAATTAGGGCTTAAGGTGTGGTAGGTTAAGCTGTGTTATATAAGAGCACCCACAACCTCTCTGTATGGACAGGGAATCAATGGTGTTAAATACTGAACAGGAACAGAGCAAAAACCTCATCACATCATGAAAGTCACTCCCTACTTCAGAGCATCCTTCAAATACCATTATCAGAGAGCCAGGGCTATTGCAGTGCTGATATCAGATTTAATATAAATGATAAAATTGATATTAAAGTATAAATTAAAAAAGAATATATAAATCAAGATTTTTGTCTTCAATCCTGTCCGCTGAGACATGACCCTCACAGTGACTAAATTAACAACCGGATTACCAATATACAGCTTAAACCAGATTTGAACCAAATCATAGACTCATAGAATAGTTAGTGTTGGAAAGGACCTTAAAATCATCGAGTTCCAACCCCCCTGCCATGGGCAGGGGCACCTCACACTAAACCACGTCACCCAAGGCTATAGAATCATAGAATAATTAGGGTTGGAAATCCTGTAGCTCTGTTTGTTTTGCTGAAGAATGAGGAGCAGGAATTGCTATGGTCTTCTATGCTGAATGCCCTGACTGAATTCAGCCAGGAGGCTGATCTGCTGAATCAAAGTGCTGCACAGGGTGGCAGCAAAATCAAAAAAACATTAACTGAGCAATGCTCTCATTAGGGTCTGTGGTTACTGTGTTAGATAGTACTAAGACAGAATTTGCTGCTTGTGCTGTAGCACTAACTATTCCTTTAAAAACACCCAATAAAATGACAGAATTTGGAATGCCATTGTCAGATTTTTCCACCATACCCAGGTGAAGGTTTACAGTCACACTAATTCCCGGAAACTACACAACACAGCAGTGCCACACAAAGAAATGCTGTGGCAAGAAACCCACGACGTAGAGCTGGACTTCCCATGCATGCCAGCTGGCAGCCCTGCCCGGTGGAGATGGGCTGCTGTTGAGCAACAGCCGCTCGTGATGTCACTCAAAACCACTCGTGGCAGACAGCTTCTCCATCACAGAATGGGAGAAGCAGATGGGGCTCCTGCACATTCCTCACCCGTGGAAGCGTGTGCCTTCGTGAGCTTTCCCACGCTCACCTGGATAGTGCTTCTCTAACCAGTTTCAGCCATATAACAACAATTGGTAATGTTTCTTTCTAGTAATTCCCTATGGAAAACTGGTGAAAATCATACAAAGATCTGGTTTCCAGACAGTAGACTTTGTGTGGGAATATGTGTTAAAAAGGGAATGTGGTCCACTCTCAACTTTTTAGGGCTACTCAATACGGAAAGACAGTATGTTGTCCGGGCTTCAACAGATTTGGTGGTAGCACTGGGTTAAGGTACAATCTGGTTTACAAAAATTGACAAAAAAGCTGCAATTTAAACATAATTTTCAATGGAAAAAAAAAATGGAAAGTTATATTTAAGAGCATTGTGATTCCTGTAAGTCAATAGTTTACCTTAACCAGGCACACTGAGCTCAAACTAACCATCCTACCTCAAAAAGATAAACCTGAAATACAGCAAACTGGTGATCAGTGAAAAGAATTGCATGCAGTTACAAAGTTAAACTTCCCCCAAGTTCAACTAGAGTTTAATCTGGGGAGGGACAGAGGAGAACATATGACAGGAACAGAGAAAATATGAGATGGAATAAACAAACAGTAATGTAGGTAGTTGATAAATCATTTCCCCTTTTCCTAATCTTTTTCTTATGGTGCAGGCCAGCAACCTGCATAGGAAAACCGATTATGTTCTTCTGCTCTTCTGGGTTTGCTAACAGAGTATAATGACAAAGTTTCACAGAGAAACAAGAACGTATGAAGAATTAAAATGTGCAGAATCAAGCTCTGTTTAGAAACCCTGTCTGACGCATTGAAGTACCAGCCCTGGCTCAGAGCACAGCCAATCTCTGTGGCACCTCTCAAAGCCACTGAAAAGATGGGATGATGACTGAGAGGGACCTGTGATTCTTTCTCTATGTCACTTCTTAAGCATCAGACTCCCAGCAAAAGGTTTCCTCAGCCAGTGAGATCCATTGGACTGAGGCTGGTGCTCTGGGAGAACACAGATTCCCACAGGAGGAAGGAGCAGCTACTCACAGTCCAGAATGACTTGGGCCGCTCGGTAGAGCTGCAGTGCTCGCAGCAGGTCCAGGAGCTGTGGCACTGTTGCCAGCCTCACTCCCCACCACCACATCAGCTCCCTTGTTATACTGATCCCAGTCTTCTCCATGCACTTGATTTTCCGTAGCTCTGTTTGGTCAGTTATCACATAGGAGGCTATTGGGAAACAAAAGACAGTTCTGTTTAAACTAGAAAATACAAGCAGGTGCAACAGGGAAAACTAAGGTGTGAGACACACTTTGCCTTTTCCTTTGCACACTTTTACAATGAAGGATGGCAATAACTGACCTATATGAACACGAAGAAAGGTCAGTTTATGGAAGTTCAGTTGTGTGCTCATTTGTGGTCCCTGGGGCTGGTGGAGATGCCACCAAAGGTGTCTGTCCTGAGTCAGCCTCCCTCAGCTGACCCACATCTACCTGAAGGAGAGGTGTGGGGGCCTGGAGTGTGGGAACAAAGATTCCCCTGTTCCCACCTCAGCTGGCTTTAGAGGACACTGGACACAGTTTTATGCATGCAAAGACAGAGGAAGTGAATCCCACTCTAAGTCAGCAACTTTAACGGGGTAAGAGTTCACTCAGAGTTAGTGAAGTCTTGAATGAAAATAAGTCATGTTAAATACGAAAGGGAGGACAACTGAGGAAAGACTCAGAACTGTTTGGACTGGGATACAGAAAATGAATAAAAACCTCAGGGACTGCATTTTTTATACTTACTAACTGGACACAGCAGGACCAAGAAAAATGGGGCAGTAAGTATGAGAGAATATACATAAGTGAAGGGAGAAAGAAAACAATAGATCATCTATGCGAGGCAAACACTGGGAGAAGCAGAAGATAAAGTGCAGTGTGGGGAGTGCTAAAGAGCAGAGCGCGAAGGGCGGGAGCCTGGCTGCGCGGACAAGCCAAGCAAACACAGAAGTCTGGAATTCCACCTATTAACCAGCAGTTTCACTTGATCCCCAAACCAGAGTGGTGCATGGGAACTCCCTGTCTACAGGATGTGAGTGCCGGGCAGCAGCTGGGCCAGAGGCCCTGCATGGGGCAGCTGTGTGCCCTGCCAGCACCCCGCACCCTTCCACTGCCCGTCCCAACCATGCTGCCGCGCTGTGCCCCTATCACACTCCATCAGCCCACCTCCCCGCATGCCAATCTCACCGAACCGCATCCAGTCGTAGTCGCTCAGGCAGTCCATCTTCTGGCAGAAGTCCTCCAGCACCCAGGCAGGCATGCTGTGGATGTACAGCACCGGGGGGGAGCCCCCTTTCAGGGCCAAGGGCGGCTGCTGCAGGGTCATTGCTTCACAGTCCCTCTCCGGAGCGTTCTTTGTCCCCGCCGTGGCCATCAGCCACGGCTACACATGCTGCATACCCAGAGCAGGGACGCTCACCACTCTCTGCCTCCTGTGTGGGCTGTGGAGGGTTGATTTTCTCCAAACGCTTCCTCTTCTCGAAGGGGCTGTCCTTCACAGCCTGTCCCCACCCCACCAGACTCACTCTTTGCTGGCGGAAGAGTCGAGCGACACGGGCAAGCGTTTGTTGGCAGGGTCAGACCTCGCTCCTGCTTCCTGCTCTGGCTGACGTCAGGCTCCAAATGCAAATCAGATTTTTCTTTCCATTGAGTGCTGATTGCTCCAGCCCGATTGCCAAATGCCGAGTTTCAAGGGATGAAGGTGAAAGGTGCTTTCCCGCTTGTTACGTACAGCTGGTATTGCCGACAGGCTGGGCAATGGCTGCTCACAAAGCGAGGGCTGGTAGGTAAGGAGCTTGCCTGCTCTAGCCCAGGCACTGGCCACATTTCCAGGGCAGTCTGCCAATGGCTTGGTCACCTGTGTGGGTATAGATATGCCTGTGTGTTTAAACATAGATCCCCCTAAGAGCTGCACCAACTGTGCTCCCACTGCTCTGGATGCTGTACAAACGGGGATAGAGGAAGTTTCAAATATCCCACAAGATCTAAGCAACAAACGTGTACCAGCAGGAGGGCAGTAAAAACCTCTGTCAGCAAATACTGAGCAGTGATGCCTCTGCCTAACTGCTGCCAGGGTTTTGCACTCATTGCAGCATATAAGATTTCACTTACCATAATATGTAGTACAGTAGCAGATGCAGGGTGTGAGAAGCAGTCATCTGGCCAGGTCTTGCTAGTCGAGGATTAGGTTTAAAGTCAGTATTTTTTCTAAATGTATAGGTTTTCCCCTTTTTTTGTATTGAAGCTTCTTTTTATAAACACCTGTAATGACTTTGCCAGGGTAAATGCTACAGATACTGCTGGCAAAACCATCTACTTGGACAGCCTTACAGCAGTACCTCTGCCAGTATGGGACAGTTCACCAAACACAGTTGTGACCCATTCCTCTTCCTGTTCTTTTCGTTCATGTTCAGCCCTAGATCTTTTTGTATTTACTGCAAGCAGTACTATAAGTTTAGAGAGCTTTTAACTTACTATTTCTTTATAATCTGCTTGTATTTCACGGCAGAGCTAACTTGTGTTTTCAGGATCAAACTTTTATACTTTGGCAATTTTCCATACTTCTTACCTCTGAAATCACAAGCCTTCCAAGTACCATTAAAGTAACAATGAATTTCTTACCCCCACTGTGGCAAGGAAAAGCTGAAAAATGTGATATTAATGTAGCTACAAGTTCAAAAGACAGGGAAAAAAATAAATACCTGAATTGTGTAACTTAAAAGACCACAATTCAAAGATTCCTCAGGACCTCCCTGTTTTAGCAGAAGCACTATTTCAATAATAACAGTTGAATTTATGGGGGTTTCCCCTCCTTTTTCTGCTTAGTGTCCTTCTGACACAGCCATGGGAAAACGATCAGAGCACCTCTGAAAGTCACGCAAGATGAGATTGAAATGTGTGTTGCGAAGAAGTGGATAAAAGGAGGAAGAGAAGACTCTTCTTTCCCTTGGGTACTGGAAAGAAACTGGAACGTTCTGGACTATTTGCCTCATGGGAGAACAAGGGGAAAGAACGCACTGACAAAGCCTGCGGCTTCCGTTTTACACTACTGAAGGGTTTTACAAAGGAAGTGAAATTTACTTTTTCACACGATGACTGGAATGATCTTACACACTCCTGCTATTCAGCCTCCACTTGCAAATAATGAGGTATTAATTACACAGGACTCTGCCCTCCTCGAGCCCCCGGGCACTAAACAAACAACTTGTTTGTTTCTGTGGTGTTTCGCACCTTCAGCTGTTACCCACCACTTCCTGCAGCAGCTCATTTCCACCACCACTGCGTTGAGCTAGAGCACAGACGGGCCCTGACCTCCGCTGCTCCCTGCCTGCCAACGAGACACTAACATGACTCCAACTACTACCCAAGTTTGTAATGCATTTGTCACAACCGAATAGCAACTTTCACTCATCACTAATCCAGCTGAGTAACTACTAGGAGGCTCCATTGCCCATCTATTAGAGCCAGCTGGGTTTATTTTCTCATCTTTTCTTATTCTGACCCAAAGGAGCAACCCAAAACCACACTTTCATGCATATGCTGAGCATTTCTTCATGTTTACCTATAACATCTGGGTTTGCTTTCTGTTTCTTTAAACATTTTGTAAATAGAAGTTCTTTAATGACCAAAGCTTTCTAGTATAGCATTTATGCACTGGCTTTAACAATTCTAATTGAACAGGCTTTTATGTCAATTACTTTCTTACATCTGCCAGCACTTTCCACTTTGAATAAATACTCAAGCCACACGTTTGGCTGGAGAATGAAAACCAAATGATACCAAAAAATGTTAGGAGCTATTGCATTCCGACAACAAACAACATGTAACCAAATTGGGGTTTTGCTACAATGCCTCTGGGTAACAAGTATAAAGACATACATCTGGACTGCTTTCTGAACTAATCCATGGCAGCGTCTGTGAGCATCTGGTAATTTGATCAGCCCACCTAAATGAAGGTGTTATTTAACATGCATCACAATTACTGCCATGTTGGTTAAGAAGACAAAAAAGAACCTGCAGGACCTGTAACAGTACTGTCAGACTGTGGCACAAGAGTCAAATGGAACATCAGACGTTACTCAATGGGCTGTGAAAACAAACCCTTGTCACCAGTTTGTGAGAGATGCTGTAATGTGAGAGATGCTGTAAAGTGCTGCTCAGAGAGGAAGTTGCTAAGCTTTTAAACCTCATGTATGGGGGGGGTAGGGGGTATTCCATGACTTGTCAAGAGGAAAAATCAACACTTAGAACACATCTGAAAGCTAAAATTAGCTAAGTACTCACAGAATTCATATCACAAGAAAACACACCCACATTGCAAGAACTGTGGGGGTAATAGGGGAGGCAGATGCATGAGCAGGCTTCTGCCTCAGACTTCGTATTTGTGTTCAGTCCTTTCCTCTCCTAAACTTCTGGCATAACTTTGGAATACTCAATTTCATCTGCAAAATGGAAATAGTATTTCTATTGTTACCTTGTCTCGGGAAAGTATAAGATTTCAAGCATGGATTGCCTCTTGCTATTCATTAAGCAAGTGATTTAACTAAATGTAAAGTTCAGCAAAGACAGGATACTCCTATGATCAATGAGATCAGGAGGTAGTTTCGTATGTTTTTGGCAAGTCACAGATATGTAAGTATGCTTTTCTGTCTGCCAACATGCAGAAATCCAAGGAATCTGATCCAAAAGCAGTCAAACATTGTACTAGGAAAGCATCACTGACTGGCTGTGTACTGGAGGAAGTCACAGACTAATGGAATAAATTTAAGTTATTCTATGAAGCAACACAAGAGATCTTAGACCCCCAACACAAAGAAGGTTTGTGATACGTACAGATCTGTAAAACCTAATACCTACTGCAGTAAAACTAGAGCTGAGCAACCAGTTTTCTGCATCAGTTTGGCCGTGCTGTCACAGTAACCATAACACAGAGTAGCACAAGGACACCAGGAAAGAAACTCCTCTCTTGGATCTGCAGGACCCCAACCTGCAGGAGCGCCCAAGGGCTTCCAGGAGCCGGGTGACATCCTGCTGTCTGCTCCCAGTGCCTGCACGGGCAGATCTGCAGAAGGTGGTGAATGCACAAATTGTTGTGTAGCTACATTTGTGCACAGGCACTGCCTTAAGCTGTGCTAAGTTTTTAGTTTTAGCCACCACTCAGTCTCACAGCCACAGGGGGCTGCACAGTTTGTAAACTCAGTCCAGGAGTATCTGTCATTTATTAGCTATAATGACTTTCAGGAATATCACAGCAACACAAGAATAAAGACCCAAACACCGTGAGGTTGTGTGAGAGAATCAAACAGCATGGATTTACATTTTCAGGACAAAGATCAATCCATACACTTCAAATATGTAAGAAAAAACAAGTCTACAAAAACGGGAGACATTTCATACTTACAGAACAGGTCGACAGTCTCAGTTTTACAGCTGTGTTTCTTAGAATGTGTAACTGGAAAGGAACGTGTCACAGAAATAACCTGCTATAATCTTCTACCATTCTGCTTCTAACAGTGAACAGCACTGCATCTGTTACTTGGTGGACAATTCACGTTATCTGTAAAAAAACTACACTGCTTGGAATGACATGTGTATGTTCACACAAATACACATCCTAACCGAGGCATGAGGGAACAGAACATTTGTAAGCAAATGTTTTCCCTGCTTATCTAGCCTGTAATGAAGCACAAAGCATGGATCTGTGAGACAGATCTAGCAAAAGGCTCATCTGAGCTGATGCAGTTTTCTATCTGTTACTTAGGAGACACCAGCAGCTCAAGTGGTCCCTGCTCCCTTGAAAAGGCCTCCCAGCTACTGGACTACTGCATTGCCACAGGAAAAGGCAGGATCAAAGCATCTACTGTCTATGAACACAACCTGTAACAGGAAGCTGCTGCAGAGGAGAGAAGTGCCCCTGAACTAGGACCCCAGAACTATGTATACATGGCTGACTGGGTTGATGACCTTCAGATCCAAGCATGAAGGATAAATAAGGCATCCAAGGTACAATCTGTGTAAAAATGCATCAGCCTGAGTGGACAAAATATGGACTTACACATGTAAAGCCAAAAGGCAGGAAAACCCCCAAGCATTTACATGTGTCATTTTTCCACCAGCATGATGTTTTGATGTTTCAGGTCAGGTCCCAAGAAGGGGTGTTTGAAACTCTCATGTACACAAACACCCCCCACGCTTGGTTGGTCACAGGCAAATCTAGGTCAAGTGTGAGAGCGAAATTCCATTGAATGCAAATTGTTCAAATGAAAATGGTGTGGGTCTGCCACTTACAATCATTAGTCTGAATTAATCTTTAGCGTAATTTACTGTCTAATACAATGAAAGCTAATCTGTATGCTCCAAACAGATGACCTGACCTTACATCCCTATGCGGTGTTCTGATGCAGTCCAAATAAAACTTCTGAGCTTCCTCCTCCAGAGTTGCTCGTTTGTGACACACGTAACGAACCAGCAGGAACCTGGCGTGCCTCTACGCACTGTTTAGTCTTTGGGAGCAGACTTGTCAAGTTAACTGAGCTCATGTCTCAGAACATAAAATACAGACAACAATTCTTGGCATGTTTGGTGGCATGCTCCCTACTTAAACTCTGTGGTTTGCTATTTGAATGGTCCAGAGTAATCATGTTATTCCAGAACTCCATTCCTCAGTATTTCACTTCTCTCCAGAGAAAGCCGCTGAAGATCCTTCTTAACATCAGGATGATCTTCCAGCTCTTCATATAACGATCGAACAATGTCCAGTTTCCTGTAGTCCACTGGTTTGACCAGACTGCGAACAACCTGGAGACACCGTTCTTTCAGGGTGAACACTGTAGTTAAATACAAACATACACACAGCCTCATCACAAGGGTGCTTGTTAGCTTCTGCCTCCAGCACAGACAGTACTTCTCCAAGTACATGACCCCAGAACATGGCATGCTACATCAGTGTGAAGAACTTGTTTCCTGTGGCAAGGCACAGTACAGAACTCATCACAGACCTCTTCAAAACTGCAAACAGCCCTGTTAACACCACAGCTCTGTAAAGAAATCCTCACTCTCTCTTTATATTTGAGGCAGACCTTATATGCGGACCCCATTTCTCACTAGACCCTGATGCCCAAAGAAACCACATTCATAGCCCACCCCTCCCCATAGCACACATGCTCCCTCTTCACTTACCTGGCAGCGTGATGTCTGCTTTATTCACGTTGGGAGCTGCTATGAACAGCTCCTGCTGGTTGACAAGGAGCCCATCGTTTGTCCCTGCATCCCGGAACAGCCAGAGGTGACCTGGGAGGAAAGGAAAACACTGGCCTTATGGTGCTTTTTAATGAGTGGTTTGAGGAGCTTCTGAACCAAAACGCTCTCCAGCTGGGCTCCCTGCTTACAGGCAATCACTGCAGCCCTGCTCACCTGCGTGACTGGGTGTCAAAAGGAAGAGAGGAAATGAGAACGTTGCGGCCTCCGGAGCTGAACGGAGAGGCCCAGTGGCGGAGTGCAGGCCCTGCTCCCCGGGCAGCCGCAGCTGCTGTATCTGACCCCAAACACCCAAGGGGAAAGCCGGTGCAGCCCCTCCGCCAGCCTGCCCCCCGAGTACCGCCCGTCCTCAATCAGGCTCCGTCCCGCCCCGCCGTACGCACCCCGGTAGCTGTGCATGACCCGCCCGGTGCGCGGCTGCAGGACCGGGTAGTGGCGGGGCTTGCCGTCGAAATCCACCCACACCGGGAGGACGGAGCGAGGGCTACGGTTGTTGAAGACGACCTCGGAGAGCTCACGGGTGTTAACGGAGCGCAAGCACGGCCCAACGCCCGAAACCGGCATCGGCGGTGCCATCACTGCGCCCGCTCCCCTTCGCGGCCGCCTAGAGCGCGCATGCGCCAGGGGGCGGCCCCGCCCCCTGACGCATGCGCGCTCCCGGCGGCCTCGAAGGGGAGCGGGAGCGCGCCCATGAAGGCTAGCGACGCTCGGACACCCGCATCAGCGTTGTCCTCGCTTTATCACACACAACGATGCAGTAACAAAGGGCTCCGGATACGGAGCATAAAAGAACACAGAAAAGACACGCCTCCTATGGAAAACCTGAAAAACTTTAATAGTTGTTAATTCACCTCTAAACACAATGAGCGTGAACAGTTTAACGGCAAACTCGTGCTCTGAGCCAAGGAAGAGGCTTGAGAAATCACAGTACATTGACAGGAGGAAAAAAATATTTGCAACTTCAAGTTATTCAATGGGTAATATTTGGTAACTACTGTGGCACTTAAATCACCTCAAATTTAAACATAATGCCACCTGGATGTGTCTACAGCAGACACTGAAAACGATAACTTGCTAATAGAACTGCTAAACATTCTCCAGTAGTAACTACAGTTAGTTTGCTAAGGCTGTGTGTGTGTGTCCCCTCACCCACGGCAGTGGTACATTAAAAGATGGAGGAGATGTTTACTAATAGCAAGCACTAAGTTGAGGTAATAGGCATGAAAAACAGTAGCATCAGCATCCTGTGTGCTAATTGGCATCTGCTTATCAGACCGTAACGAAACAGATAGTGGTTTATTATCTTAGTGTGCATTTAGGCAACTGTATAAACTACATAACTTCAATCTGGAAAAATCCTACATTAAAGAGACACTAAATCCTTCAAGGCGGCAGTCTGAGTAGTCTTTGTTAGTCACTTTCAGATGCATATAGAAGTTCTACAGTTTGGGAAATAAATTAACCATTACCTCCAAAGGTGCCTCAACATGTTTTCTACTGTAAGCAGAGGAAATTGAACTGAAAACAACACTGAACATGGTAGAGAAGACTCAGGCAAAGGAAAGCATTACTAATTCCACTACAAACTTTCACCACTTTTTGGGTGGTGGGGAGTAAAGAAGTGATTTAAATAACAAGGTTTCAGAACATAGTACAAGCAGTAGCTCTGAAGTTGACTCCTGGTTTAGTATTTGTGTTACCCAATTCTACACAGGTTGTTTGGGTTTTTATTTAGGAAATGTTGGGTGTATGCTCTTGAATGTCTGTTTTAAGAAAATGCAATTCAACAAGTTCTGGAGGTGTTCCTTCTTCTGTGAAGGTTACCAGAACAATCATTTTTCTTCTGCTCTTTCCCAGGTGCGTCTCAGGAGGTACACTGAAGCATGAAGGCCCCCGATGTTCACCCATAAAGTTTGAGCTCTGCGCCAGATGTGGCCCAGTCGTGACAAGGCCTGCAAGGCAAAACACACAGCCAAAGAGTAGTGGTGGCTTCCAGACAAGCATGAATTTCCTTTAAATTATTTTTTATTATTCTAAATCGTATCTGAACAAAATGTCAAATGACTCCTCAGGTCCAAAACTGTGTTTAGATGTTACTAACTAATTATTGCTCTAAAAATAGATCACCTTCTGTCATTTTTCCTCAATATATTTCCAACTGTAAGCAGTTTGATTTTATTTCACAGAACATACCTTGGCAAAGCATTTCTTGTCCTGTGTAAGCAGCACGGCCCTGCCTGTCCCTGGTGTGCAGATCCGGCCCATCTCCATCAAGCAGGCTGGATACAGATCCCAGTTCTTCTTCTTGGACCCAATTCTGCAACATAAATTAAGATTCCCTTTGTGATCACTGAAGAACAGTTAAGTGTTGTTGGTCTTTCACACACGGATTAGCTCATTCAGGACTATGTTTACTATTAATTTCAACCTCAATTTTTAATACAAAGTATATAATACTTCTCAATTAGCCAAGTAACTAAATAGGGAGACTCCTGGACAGGCAAGCACATGCAGCAGCAGCAGCTCAGCACAGCAGCTTTACCAGCAATACCTCACCTCTTTCCAAACGGCATGTCTGACACAACGATGTCTACAGATCCAGTTCGCAAAGGGAGATTGCAAATATCCCACTGGATGATGTCTAAGGGTACGCCTGGGGAAGCATTGCTGCAAGTGCAAAGATGGTTATCTCAGACACGGTTTACAGAGAGTATTTTATATTGAGGAGGTCTATAATGTGGGCAAAAAGAACAAATGGGAAAATACAAACAAGACAGTCAAATGCATGAATGCAAAATGGATTTCTCTGCACACAATGCTACAGGAAAAGAAAATCACTTCTCTCTTTGCACTTCTCACCTTTCTTTATTCTCAATTTTCTTTAGTAAAGAACAGATGTTGTTTGCTGCTTTCTTTACAGCTTGGGGGTTGTTATCACCAGCGATGTGGCAGCAGCTAGGCCATTCTGTAGCTCCCTGGGGGGAAATACTGACAATAAGCAACACTAGCATCAAAACTGATGAATTTAAAACAAAACAAACAGAAGAATCACTCAACCATGACAGAATACGCTGATTTTAAAATCCTGTATCTGTTACAGGCATTATGAACCTTAAAATTTTGAAGTACTTTCAGATTTAGTTTCTTCCTGCTACAGGTTTGGGAAGCAAAATAACAGCCCTTACAAGAAGTGCACCTGTTTAAAAGCTGCTGAGACACTTCTGTAGTTCACTGCTCAGTTATTAACAAGGGAACTTACACGTATCATTCAGCTGCAGATACTGTCATGTTTTACAAGTTATAAAATAAAGGAGGAATCACCTCTATTGGTATTGCACCTGTACCACACATAGGATCAATTACGATGTCCGTTGGCTGTGGATCACAGAGCCTAAGGAACAGAAGAAAAGATGTGGTGAGAAGTCTTAAAAACATGAATTTCTGTAAGGAAGGAAAATGGAACTATTTCAATCACTCTGATTCCAACAAAAAAAAACCCCTCCTATGTGATTCCCCCCCCTTCACTAATTAACATTTTATAAATAGCAGTACAGGGAAATACTTTCAAGCATGTGATACAGAATTTTGTTGGCTAACACAGCAAACGTTTACTTGGTCAGCTGGAAAACATCCACTGCCAATTACAAAGCACACTGCTTCAGCAACTATGCTTATTTTCTTTCTTTCTTTAAGAATTAACAGAACAGGCTTTTGAAGAAGGGGTGGGTGGACAAAGGATCTAATTTCCAAAACAAAATGACTTGTTAACTGAGAATAGTACAATACTATGCAATTGCACTGACCTAAGCATGCTGTAAGCGAGAGTTGAACGCAGAGTTGTGGGTCCAAAATGTGTAATATTCCGTCTGTGAAGACTCTCCTCTGTTAATGCAATACCCACAACTACTTCATTATTGTGAATATTCAGAAGAACCTAGAGAAAAAAGCTTGAGCTAAATTTCAGGAGTAAACAGAAGTTATCCACAGTATGACTGGCAAATATGAGACTCTAAAGTGGCAATTTTAAAAACATGAACTACATATAAAAGAGCACTCCTTGAAGAAAAGCAATGCACTGTTTTATGGCAAAAACGGACAGCATTCTGGAGAGCATTCACACATTTTCTCATTCACACAGAGCCTTTTACACAAGAGTTCAGAAACTGCTATAACCATGATGCTGATTTTTTGAAAGTTGTGTTTTGTAAGTACAGGGGAGAAGTTGGGTCCTGCAAGTCACAGTGAAGCATCTGCAAAGCAGCAATCAAATCATATTTCTAGTCCCCTCCACTGTATTAATCTGGAAGGTGAAAAACTTGCTCTAGGGCAGCAGGACACCTCTTCACATGCCTGCAAGAAAAATAGGGGTTTCTGCCCCTCAAAAACAGTGGACTGGTCCTCACCTAACTTCTGCCTTCCCTATAAAAAGGAGCAGATACTGGACAGTTAATGTTAACAGTTTCTGCCCCCTCACCCATGAACTACAGCTTCCAGATAGTTTATCTTCTGTTAACTTACACCAATACAAGACAGCAGAGTAAGGAAAGATTCATTGAGGGTGAAAGTAAAGCAGAAAGCACTTATGTTGTATTTAAATATGAGTAAGACCAAGTGCTAGAGGAGGAAGCAATACTCAGTACTTGAGCTTTTGCTGCAATTGAGGGAAAGGTGAAAGGTTTTGGGCACCATCTCGGGTGATCTTAGTCAGCTAACTCAAGAAGACAACAGCATCTGCAGAGAAAAGAGGGACCCAAAGAAGGGGACGTGTGGGGGGCACACTGGACCAACAAAAGGGATCACTATGATGGATGGCCAAGGCAAGCGGTGGGATGTCAGGACACACATGATGTGCCCATGAAATAAGTGCCTCTGAGGAGGCCATGACTTCAGCATTTCAATTTTCAGTTCCAGAGTCATTGGGAGATACCTATGTATCAGAACTAAGTTTTTACAACAAAAATGCAGGTATTTCCAAGGCACAACATTGTACCTCCACATCAAAGTTAGTCATGTCAGCTTTCCACTGGAAGTGCTCCTGCACAGCTCCACCGAAGTCTCTCGCAGCCTCGTTTGAGCTAAAACTGTGCTTGTCTCCTGCTCTATTGCACGTCACACGGAACTTCAACACCTTCGCCTCTCCATCGCTTGTCCTGCTGTCACCAGCCTCGGTTTCAGTCCCAGCACCTGCCTGCAATTCATCTTTAGCATCTGGTTGTTCGTTGTTACCCTCCTCTTCCTTTTCCTCATTTTGGGATGCCACTTCTGGTGTCTTTTCTGTATCCTGACCATCAGCAGGTTCCACACCTGCAGTGTCCTGGGCATAGTCCTCCTCTTTCTTGCTGTCTTTTTGATCTGCTTCTTTGTCTTCTCCGTCGCTGTCATGGTTTAAACCAGGACAGTCACTATTCAGCTTCTCCTTCCTCACAGTACTCTGCCGATTGTGTTTTTTGCGTTTTGTCTTTTTCTTTTTTAAGCTGTTGTTCAGCTCCCAAACCTTCAATGGATCAGTCCAGGGCAGCTTTTTAACCAAATCTTCCAAATCCTTTAGAGCATCCTCCTTTAACAGACAAAAAAAATTGTGATTTACAGTCATTCCATCCCTTCAGAAGATATCATTTTCCAAAAAGTCTCTCAAAGTAGTTTCCTAATCATATGCCCACATTCAAGAAAAACTTATAGCTTTTTGTGCTACTTATGGCATAACGACACTGAATGACGCAGAACTCGTAGTATTTCATAATTGTGTCTTGTCAAAAAAACACCTAACACTAAAATGACTGAAGTGATACTTCATTGTCTTGTGTTTGTGTGACCTACAAGCATGGCATTAGCTTTCACCCCAGATTTTGTCCATGCAACATATTTAACTGAAAAATTATGGTAGACAACATGACCATGTTTCTATTTGACAGATCAGCAAAGAGAAATGGGGATAATACCACAAATATCCCCCAACTTGCTCATAAAACAGAATACTTTCTGCAACTAGTGCTACGTTAAAAAAAACGCTACAAACCCCAGAAGCAGTTGAGGGATGATGACTAACTCACCTTGGTTTCTTTAAATTCATAGTTTTTGAACTCTTGAACAACAACAAACAAGTTATCCACTGACCTCAGGCGATGGACCTGGAAGAAACGAGAAAGCGCAGCGCACGTTACTGACCAGGCCTGCGGAGGGGGCTGTGCTTGCTGCTGCTAGCCGGGTACCTTACGGCCCCAGCTCAGGGACCGTGCTCTCCCACTCCACCTCGGGAGCGGGGTGCCCGGCTCAGCGTGGGCCGGGCCCTGCCGCTGCCCACCGCCACAGCCACGAGCGCGGCACAACCGCCCCGGTACCAGCCGCGGCCCCGGCAGCGGGAGGGAGCGGACCTGCGGCAGGCCCTGCGCCGGGACCTCGAAGTAGATCTTCCCGCGGTCCCTGCTGATGCGGGCGGCCGAGCCCAGCTTCTCCTGCACCTCCTCGGCCGCCATCAGCTCGAACCCGGTGGGCACGGTGGCGCAGATAACGGCCGCCAGCTCCGCGCCCTCCCCAGCCGGGGCTACACCGGGACCCGGCGATCCCGCATGGCCTGCCGCCTCCGCCATGTTCCCGCGCCAAGGGACCGCGGGGCAGGACCAGACCCGGGTTGACCAGACACTCCCACAACCCAACCAGCCCCGCCAGCAGCACACAGCACCACGCGCCGCCACAGCTCTCCCCTTCCACTTCCGGGCCGCGCAACGGTCAACTAGCCACAGGGCGACAGCGCCGCCTGCTGGCCGGCGGCTCCAGCCCCGGGGACTCGGGGCGCTCGGCGGGGCGGGCTCCCGGTCCCGGCTCTGGGGTCGTCAGCGCGGCAGCCGCCGCTGCCGGGAGAGCCCTCTGCCTCCGCGTGTCGGACCGTGAGTGGGCGCTGCCTGGTTTCCCCATGTTATAAAAGTACGGAATTCCCTGGGTCTTCGGGATGCTCCTCTGGGAATGTGTCCAGCACCACAACTGATCTGTAAATAAGAACCTAACCGCTATACGGGTTTTTTTAGGAGGCACAGAGAGAGAGGCAGGCCACTCTAAATGTCTTCATAACCATGGCTGCATCAGTGTGACGAAGTATGAACTGCATGAAACTGAAGGAGCGCTGTTTTCCATCCTCTCCTCTCCAAATCATAGCATCAATCAGTCACAGACTGGTTTGTGTTCAAAGGGACCTTGAAGCTCATCTAGTTCCAACCGCTGCCATGGGCATCTTCACCTGTTCCCAGCGTTGGATTTATAAGTGTAAAACCCAGCTTGCCCCTGCAGCTCGTTCTCCCTCAGTGGCAGTACTGGTGACAGCACTGTTTGTTTTCGTTTTCCCACGTACGTTCTGATTCCGCTCTGGCATTTCAGTAACAAGCAGGGTGCCTCAAGCACTGCTCTTGCCATTAAGCCTTCTGAAGCACTGCTTTGCTTTCACATGAGAAGTATGTGAGTGAGAGTGTGTCTCAGAGAGGGAAGGTGTGGGGTTTATGCCATCAGTTTATTTTTAACTTGTGATTCGAGTCTGAAAATACAGAATTTAAACCATGGAATTTGGGTCATAAACACACTGGAGAAAGTTCCTGTGAAATGGGTTCTATGATGAGAATTTAAAAATAAGCTAAAGCAGACAAAACCACTGGGTATGCTTGCATCTTGTGATCTGTAGCTGGCACCCTGAGAGATCTTTCCAGTGTGGTGGCAGTTCCATGATACCAGGTGCAATGGCACTGCATAAACTTATATCCCCATGCAACTGCTGAAGCAGCCCGCGATGCTTCCCCTTTACTGCAGTATTTACAAGGTGCAGATGAAGTTGGTGTGGTTTGCCAGCCAGGGGATCGGAGCATCTCGCTCCGTGCCTGCAGCACCACAAGGGCACACCAGCAGCAGTAGGAACCCCAGCAGGCTGGGTCCTGGGGTGTGCGTCTTGCTGCTCACATCAATATTACAGGTTTTGCTTAGCTCTATGCTGCAGCAGTGCCTGTAGCGAGGGAGAGCTTTGTGGGTCAAATGGGATAAAGAACTTGTACTGCTGAGCTACTCTCAACAGCAGACTTTTCAGCATATTTTGGTGAAGGTATTTGCCAGACACTTAAATTAATCCCATATGTCTGGTCTATCAGCAGCAGCTCTGACCCTTCCCAGCTGGTCTCAGATTGAAAGGTGAGAACCGGTAATGAGCCTGCCTTGCTTCAGCTCCTGAAATCTGTCCAAGCATCACCCGCAGAACCATTTCCTGCCAGTGGCCAGGTCCTGCAGTAGCTGAGGACTGCTGTTTGTCTAATACCCATGCAAGACTCTTAGCATAATGCCCCACTTTGCTTGCAGCTTTCCTCCCAGAAACTCCTGACGTGCTCTGTGGATGTAGAGCTGAAGCATCTTTCAGCTTAAACAGGGGGGAGATGTCACCTTTGTGAATGACAGAGGCAAAACCACTCAGACCAACACTGCACAGCACAACATGTGACAGTGGGAGTGAGGAGAGATTTTTTGCCTGAGGATTTAGGATGAACCCTCCTGTGTGGGAGGCACACTGGCAGTGTTCTATTCAGATCTTATCCTGAGAAGGGTCCCACACAGTGAATTAGAGGACAGGCCTCCCACACGATCTGGAAGGTGCAGACTCAGCCGTCTGCGTGTCCTTGGCTGCCACTGAAATCCGTGTTATTTGTTGAACCCTTAGGAAAACTCTGCAGTTGCTTTCAGTGGGAATGTGGCGATGCCCTGTGGTGATGGCACAGCAGTGCTCTATGGGACGGAAGAGAGCTGACCTGGCAAAACTAAGAACAGTTTCCATGGAATCTAAGTACTTTAATTCTCATTCCTTGATCAACCCTCTGTTATAGAAAGCTCCTGTATATTTCAGATGCTTCTTGAGTGACTGTGAGATAGCACCCTTTGTATTCCAACTGTGTATTATGTCATTTCTATCTCTTTCAGTAAAACCACACCATAGATGTGTTGGTCATTGGGGCTGCAGAAATATATAAGCTGGGAGATAGTGTTGCAAATGTAGACGGAAAAAAGTATCATTGCCATGCTGTTCTGTGAGTAGTAGCATACATGTTCTCATTTATCCAAACAGCCAATGAATTTTTTACATATAGATAATATGGGACATGTGTTTTGGTAGGAGAGAAAAACAATAAAGCGCCTTCAAGAGAAACCGGAGTTGTATTTTCATGTCCATTATGAATCCCTGTTCCCAGAGCCAAGAAATCAAACTGGCTCGCACAAGAGGAAACCTCCAGTTAAAGCAAGAACGTACCTGTTGGGTAGATCTGTTAGGCTTGTTACAGACTGAAGCGGTTCCTGATGAGCTGGCAGCATCGATTTCATGGCTGGTTTAGTCCATACCTGAAGAGGAGAATTGCTGTCCATTTGTCTGGAAGGTTTTGTGTGCTGGGTGAATTGGGTCTGCCCATTTGGAAGGTGAGCTTCAAACAGCAGGCTGAATCCCAGAGGACATGGCGGTTTTCTTCACTCTTGCTCTTCAGGGCTAATCAACAGAGCGATGGAAATGGCAACCATCCAACTAAAGAAAATGCCCTAATATTATCCTGGAGTAAATTATTTGTCTTATAATGTTGGCATATAACTGAAGAACATTTACAGCAAACTTAATGTACTAAACCAAATAACTTATGCTATAATTGGGACTATAGGATGAATATAAACAAAGAATAAACTGGATTTTGCATCATCAGGTACCTCAGAATAGGTGTGTGACTCTGCACAGAGCTCTGTGGTTAGTTTGCCGCTGACTTGCTGTCTGACTTTGGCATAATTTGCAGATTTGTTTTTAAAAAGCACGGTTTGGGTCTCTATGTGGTGAATTGGGGTTTTCTTTTCATTTTTGTTACTAGCTTCCCCCATGAGAAAATTCGGGGTTTCTGGCTTTTTTGGGTGTTTGGGTTTTCTTCGTAGGTGACCTGTTGGATAACTGGATGGATTCTTTCAGTTCAGACCTAAATAAGGCAACTCGGTGGCAAACCATTCAGAAATAGTCCGTTTTCAAAAGATGTTATGTGGCTGGAGATAGTGAAGCAAACAGACAAAACTCCCAAAACCTCAATCAGCCAAATCCTTTCCTTTCTCCAAAGCTCAGTTGCCACTTCTGGACTGTTTGTGCACCACTATGCCCCTGTTTTGCAGGGATCAGTTTTCTCCAGAAAGTCTCTGGAGTTCTTTGGTGAACAGCTCTGAATCTTAGAAGTGAAAATCAAGCAAACGAATGCTTGTTGGCTCTAGGGCAGCATGAGAAGGATGCACTGTGCTGGGAAAAGGTGCACTGCAGCAAGTCAGATTTCAGCAAAACCTATGGTGCAGGGGGAGTTGTTAACATGGACTGTGGGGGATTGAAACACCCGTGTGTTTGCAAACCGGTGTCAGTCAGACAGCTTGCAAGAGCAGCTTAACTCTGTGCTGCTGGTGAGGGGTGGCATGGTTCCATTTGGAACTGCAGTGCCAGCCTTCCAGTGAGCCAGAGCCAGCTCTTGCGAGCAGGAGCACTGGGCAGTGCGGCAGGCAGTGGGATGCTCTCGGGCATCGAGACCTGGTGGCTCTTCCTGCTGCCACATGAGGCTGGCAGAGCAGCGGGCTGGGTGGCAGAGCTGGGAAGCCATTCCCTGGCAGTGTTCTTCATCGAGTTACTTCATTTTTCTTAAGTATTGCTATTTCCTATGTGAAAGAGAAAGATAATATAGTATAGTGCTTGGAAATCTCCAGCTGAAGTATAAAGTCATGTTATTTTAAACCCCAGACATCAGAAGAGGGGTGAATTGGCAACTTAATGGTTACCGGGTGGCAGAGAGTTAGTATTCATGGTAGCACTGGTGAGCCCTGTGCCTTGCTCAGAAGAGCTGTCAACTGAAGCTAGCGGGTTATAAGCCGAGCCAAATAGTTAACAGCTTAAAATGAGAAATTACATAGCAAACCCTTATTACTGGAGGTATTTTGTTAACAAGAGGATGGTCCCACCTTTCCCGTCCCCAGCAGATTTTGCACATGAACTAATAAGCCTCAATTAGCAGCCTCTGTATGGGCAGCACGGAGGTTGCAGAGCTGTGTGCAGATGAGCGATAAGGCCATAAAAGAACAACAAGCTCATACTATAAAATGTAGATGTGCTTAAAATGTCAGACTGATGAAACCATTCAGTGCTGGATTGTGCACCCCTCTGTCTCGAGAAACCCAGCTTTGTTCTCTATGAGGTGTGTTAAATGAAAACTCTGCTGAGGGAGCATAATCTAGCAAGAAAGGTTATGTGCACACGGAACTTCACACCACCACCGGTTTCATGAAAGCAGTGAGATGTGTTCAAAGTCCTTGCTTGACTTGGACCAGAATAAATGAAATTAACTTCTTGGATTGGTTTAATTAATTTGGTAGGGCATAAACAGATTTAGAGATGGCAAGTTTTGTCTGCACCTGCCTTGCCTGGAGAATCTGCTTATATTGAGTTAATTTCAAAGCTGTAGAATTAATTTGGTGTGAACAGGTGTGATTTGTCCTGTAGTGACAGGGATGTGTTGTAGTAATCCCATCCAGCACTTGATTTTGCAAAGGTTGAAGATCTCTGAGCAAGGAAATACGTTTTCTTTTAACCCAGTCCCTCAACACACAGCTGCAAA